AAGCGGGAGACGAATCAGTTTATCCCGAGGACACATCACTTCCCCGCTACACACAGAGTGGCCTCCAGATACTTGGCCTGGTCACCGCGGTCCACGGCGCTGTGCTTCCTAAGGAGCCTGCGACAGTTCAGCAGGCTCTGGGGGGGGAGCATAAGGAAAAATGGCGCGAAGCCATGGACAAGGAGCTAAAAGCACTGGAGGAACGCAACACCTGGAAGGTTGTTCCTATCGGCGTAGCACGGAACAAGACGATTCTCACCGGAAAGTGGGTCTTCCGCGTGAAGACAAGGGCTGACGGCACCATCGACAAGTTCAAAGCACGCTGGGTTGTACGCGGCTTCGACCAGGAACATGGACGCGATTTCACCGAGACATTCGCTCCAGTCAGCCGACACACCTCGCTGCGAATTCTCGTCGCGATCGCCGCCATGAAGAAAAGGACGCTGCGGCAAATTGACGTCGCCAACACATTCCTCTACACACCCGTCGATGCAGAAATCTTCGTCGAGCTACCGCACGGCTCCAACGGAGAGCCTAATCAAGTCTGTGAGCTGCTGAAGTCGCTCTATGGCATCAAACAAGCCCCGAGGCTGTGGCAGGAGTACCTGCACGCGAGACTCATTCGGATCGGATTCCGCCAACTACCTCACGACCAAGGCATGTACCGGCTCACAAAGGGCACCGACTACATCTTGCTAATCGTTTACGTAGATGATTTGCTCTACATCGGCTCAACCGACAGCGTCACTACCTGGTTCGAAGGGGAGCTGCAGCAAGACCTTACACTCACAGTCTCATCTACCGTCACGCAATATCTCGGGCTCAACATACGGGAAGAGGAGGATGCGATCTACCTCAGCGCCGGGAAATACGCCGATACCATCGCCAAGCGCTTCGCACTCACACCGACCGTCATCTCCACGCCATACCGCTACACGGCAGGAAACCACAAGGAAAGCTCCGCTCTACTCAACCCCGCCGGCATACGCGACTACCAGAGGAAACTGGGATGCCTCCTCTTCGCAGCTGTCACCTGCCGCCCGGACCTATCGTACTATGTAAGCCAGCTCGCCACCTACCTCAAGAAACCCGAAGCGGAACATCTGGCGGAGCTCGACCGCGCTCTTCACTACCTCGTTAGCACCCCGACAATCGGCCTGACCTACCATAAGAACACAACTATAACGCCTAAGCTAATCGGGTACGTCGACGCCGATCACGCCGGCGACTCCGACAACAGGCGCTCCCGCACCGGCTACATCTACCGCTTCGAGCCTATCGGTCCTATCTCCTGGCAGTCAAGCAAACAGGAATTAATCGCCCTCTCTTCAGCTGAAGCAGAATATATCGCACTCTGCTCAGCCACCAAGGAAGGACTGTACCTTCGCGAACTACACAATACGGTGGTATATCCCTCATTTATTCTGCGCTGTGGCGATCACTTTGCACACCTCATTCCTACCTCCGTTGGCTCAGCTCAGCTCAGTAGCCCGGCACGGTGGCAGCAGTAGTGTAAGTGTCATACGCGTTCACGGAAGGTTCGGGGGATTTGGTGGGATTCACTGCATCGTTGGTGAAAGTGCCTGGAGTGAAGACCACAGGAACTGCAGCGTCAGTGGCGGCAGGTCCTTCGCCAGTGTTGTTACCGGTACTAGGATCGATAGAGGCATTAGAAACCCCTGAAATGGCGGTGCCGGTACCAGGATCTGTAACGCCAAGGGTGGATTCCAGCATGGCCCGGGCAGACTCTGAAACGGAGTTGGCGGATTCCAGAATGTTGCCGGAAGGTGCTGTGGTGCCGGTGGTGCCGGTGGCAGGTGGTGAGGTTTCTGCAGCACAGGCAGGGCGAGAGAGAGGGAGAGAGGGCAGGTGAGCTCGTGGGTCCATCCAGTCAGGGTAGCGTTCAGTGAGGGTGAGGGTGAGAGTGAGAGATAGAGATAGAGATAGAGATAGAGATAGAGATAGATATATATATATATATACAGAGAGAGAGAGAGAGAGAGAGAGAGAGAGAGAGAGAGAGAGAGAGAGAGAGAGAGAGAGAGAGAGAGAGAGAGGAGAGAGTGCGATAGAGAGGAAGAGGAGTTTGCGGTGAGCGGAATGGAGGAGGGGCAAGGCAAGAGGGGACGCACCAGTGAGGCAGAGGGCGGACGTCACTACACCGGGAACATACTTGACACTGCACACAGGGGGAGGGAGGGCGCCACGAGTGCGCGGGTCGTTGGTCAGGTGGGGGAGCAACCGAGCGGCGTTAAGAGCAAGGCGAGCATGGGAGCAAGGCGAGCATGGGAGCAGGCGAGCATGGGAGCAAGGCGAGCATGGGAGCAAGGCGAGCATGGGAGCAAGGCGAGCATGGGAGCAAGGCGAGCATGGGAGCAAGGCGAGCATGGGAGCAAGGCGAGCATGGGAGCAAGGCGAGCATGGGAGCAAGGCGAGCATGGGAGCAAGGCGAGCATGGAAGCAAGGCGAGCACGAATAGAAGGCGTGCCGCGCACCTCTGTGCGCCCATGATGGGGAGAAGGTCCAGCGTCTGGTGGGGAACAACCGAACGGCGTTCAAAGCATGGAAGCAATGCGAGCAGGGATAAAAGGCGCACCTCTGTGTGCCGATGATGGGGAGAAGGTCCAGCGTCTGGCCTGTGCACGCGGGATCCTGGAAGAACCGGATTGCGCGGCACGTAGCAGCGTTGCCAGCATCGCTTCCCTGCTGTCGAGAGACTTCCACGCGAGCCTTGACTGCACCCGGCATGGCGGGGATGTTGACACAGCGGCGCGACTCGAAGCTAAAAGGACGGCCGTTGATAGTCATCTGCGTGGCAATCCTCGCTGGGGCCGATGGGATTTCCGCTGCGAGCGACGGCTGCGGGAGACACGCTGCAAGAGAGGGAGGGACACGTGGCATGGGAGGGTCACGGAGGCATGGGCGTGTTCATTGGAAATGCATTGCGTGCGCATGAGAGCACTGTGGTGTGGTCCGTGGCGCATGAGAGCATGGAACTGAACGCATTGCGGCGTGGACTCGATGATGCGCATGGGAGCACGCACGCACGACGACGGCGAGAGAGAGCGGAGCGAATGACGGAGCGTACCGGCGATGACGGCGACGATGGCGAGCAGCGCACGCACGGCCTTGCCATTCCCCATGCTGCCGCTTCTCCGGTGGACGGATGGTGCTCAAGCTTCACCCTTGAACGACACGAGTAATTCCAATAGCTCGAGTAGTAGCAGATGTGCAGCGGAGCAACTCCGACGGGAAGAGGTGCTAGATGAATGATTGGTGCTACTAGTGATTGGTAAAGCGGAAGAGGTGACGAGGCCGATCGGGCACGGGTGCTTAAATGGGCATCGCAGCGAGCCTACTAGCGTGCGGCGCATCATCCGCTCCACGGAGCTTCTGCGCGACGAGGGGCCTCTGTGATGGGAAGCAGCTCCCGACGGGCGCGGCAAGGCCTTGGCCATGTGCGACCGCTGCGACAGGAGTCGCTGCAGGGAACGCGTTTCTTTAGTCGCCAGCGCGCCTTGGAATAAGCGTTTCCTGAGGTGTGTGCGAAGGTGACAACGCTGGCGAAAACAGAAATGGAAATGGATTTATTGGACATAATTATTGAAGTCGAAAATGTTAGGTCTCTCCGCAACACTTAGGATCCACATTCAATGTCAGCACAATGTTTGCTAAAAAATGGGGGAGTGGAACGAGGGTCGTGCTCGGCAAAATTATTGTGGACACCAGGACGGAAGGGCCCATTCCCGCTGACTTCGGATCTTGTAAAGACCCCATTCACAACAATAATTCCGATGTGATGCCAGACAAGCGTTCTGTTCTGAGGGCGCGGGACACACAAACACAAGTGACGCGACGCGAGGCAATCGAATGTCTCCGATATGGACAGTCTCTATCGCAAGAATCTGACAACAACAATTGCTGGTGATTCCCTTGCATGCAGCCACTAATGGTGACTTCGCCAAAATATCGCCAAGATCGCTTATTGGTTCAAATACAAACAAGGTTAGAATGTTGTGTAATGATATAATCTGGTATAGCTACGAACAGCAAATTGAAAATGGCTGATCACGCTCCTAAGTGATGGTGCTGACAGTAGTGAAAACTAGAGTGAATTGATGGAAGCCACCAGAAACAAAGGTCAAAAGCAGGGTCATCTCTATGATTTGAAACCACATGTGTAGAATTGCAACAAGATCCAGAAACAAATATTTAGATGGGTAAAACAAAGATTACAACAAACCTAGAAAGAGAAAACAAGGGGAGAAGTGGGGGTGCGAACAGGAGAAATCTAACCAGCCCGGACAGGGAGGGTCTGATAACACGCAGTGCTGCTATGATACCAGATTGGTTGCTTCTATTCTTCTTGAGAACTTGCCAGCTATCCTGCCTGGCACCTGCTCAACGACCTTCCCGAGAACAGTTCACCAACTAACTCTCCAACCTGTCTGAGAAGCACAGCAACAGCAACCAATCCCTGTCCCTACGCAATACGTCCCTCAACTCTTCTCAGATGTGGCGACTGATTTGGCTTGGCGCAAGTAGAGGAATAGGATGGTACGGAGTTGCCACCGCTGGAAGGTTCTGGAGTTTAGTTGGGAGATTCTGACGTGTAGATAGGAGAATCTGACGCGTTGCTGGAAGAGTCTGAAACGTAGCTAGGAGGAATTTCTGACACGTAGTTGGAAGGTCCTGAAACGTTGCTGGAAGAATCTGAAATGTCGCTTGAAGATTCTGCAATGTTGCTGGAAGATTCTGAAGCGTCGCTTGAAGGTGTTGTGGTGGACGAAGCTGTGGTGGTGCCGGACGGGGTTGAGGTGGTGCCGGACGGGGTTGTGGAGGTGCCGGACGGGGTTGTGGTGGTGCCGGACGGGGTTGTGGTGGTGCCGGACGGGGTTGTGGTGGTGCCGGACGGGGTTGTGGTGGTGCCGGACGGGGTTGTGGTGGTGCCAGGTTTTGCTGCTGGCACACAGGTGGCACCGACTGCATTGTAGCCCGCCTTACACTTGCACTCCATTCCAGTGCCACTGGTGCGTTTGGCACACTCGGAGTTGGCAGGGCAGCCTGCAGTGAGGCACGAGGGTTCTGCAGCAGAGGCAAGGAGAGAGAGAGGGAGGCCAGGTGAGCACATGGGTCCATCCGGACAAGGAAGCATTCAGAGAGAGCAGAGCAGGCGAGGGAGGGCGGAGGAGGAGAGAGTTGCGGCAACGAGACCATGCTGAGCGGAGCGAAACCATACGAAGCTCACTGGGAGGCTGGCATTTGTTGTTGACCGCGCTGTAGCCTTTCTTGCACGCGCACGTCACTGCCGTGCGGTCGTCCGTGGGTGGGGTGCATGTGTCAGAGCCGGCAGGGCAGCGCGCATACCGACACATGTTGTCTGCCGCACAGCGCCGTGCGGACCGGGGGAAAGGGGGAAACGGGGAAGGGGGGGAAAAGGGGGAAGGCGAATGCAGAGATGAGGCGCGGCAGCCTGCCACCCACTCGCGTCGTGCGCTCTGCAGCGCAGCGAACTGGACTGTGCAGTGAGAGCGCGAGGCCAGCGAGAGAGAGAGAGAGGGCGGCTTCTCGCGAGAGGCGGGCGCGAGAGAGGGCAAGAGGGGACGCACGCACCTACGAGGCAGAGGGCGGACCTTGCTGCACCGGAGATGCGCTTCTCACTGCACACAGGGGGAGGGAGGGCGCCACGAGTGCAACGATCGTTGATCAGGTGGGGGAGCAAACGAGCGGCATCAAGAGCATAGGAGCATGGAAGCAAGGCGAGCAAGAATGGAAGGCGCACCTCTGTTGGCCATTCACGAAAACGTCCAACGTCTGTCCTTTGCACGCGGGATCCTGGAAGAACCAGATCGCGCGGCACATAGCCTTGCCAGACATGCTCGCCTGCTGCCACGGCACCACCACCCGCGCCTTCTGAGACGGCGACATGGCGGGAAGGTTGACACAGCGGCGCGGCGAGAATTTGAATGTGCGCCCGTTGATTGTCATCGGCGTGCCTATCGGCACTGGGACCGACACGCTCGCTGCTGCTGCTGCTTGCGACGGCTGGGGGAGACACGCTGCAAGGGAGCGGCATGTGGCATGGGAGGGGCACGGACGAAGGAGCGAGTTCGTTGGGCATCCATCGCGTGTGCGCGCTGTCGAGTGGTGCATTGAACGCATGACGGCGTGAGCACGATGGCGCATGAGAGCGCGGGGCGAGAGAGCGGAGCGAATGACGGAGCGTACCGGCGATGACGGCGACGATGGCGAGCAGCGCACGCACGGCCTTGCCATTCCCCATGCTGCTGATTCCGGCGGACGCCATTCGCTCTTCGACCTTGATCGCCACGAGCAATCCGAGAGCAGGAGTGGAGCAGGAGTGTGCAGCGGAGCAACCCGAGAGAAAGAGGTGACGAGAACGATCGGAGTAGAGCAGGAGTGTGCAGCGGAGCAACCCGAGAGAAAGAGGTGCTAGAGGAGTGATTGGTGCTAACTGGTGTAAAGCAGAAGAGGTGACGAGAACGATCGGGCACGGATGCTTAAATGCTCATCGCAGCGAGCCTACTAGCGTGCGGCGCATCATCCGCTCCACGGAGCTCCTGTGCGAGGCTGGAGGGACCTCTGTGGCGGGACGCAGCCCGCGACGGGCGCGGCAAAGCCTTGGCCATGTGCGACCGCTGCGACAGGAGCTGCTGCAGGGAACGCGTTGCTTTAGGCGCCATCGTGGGCTTCGATTGGGCGTTTCCTGGCTGTGTGCGAAAGCAAAAACGACTGGGATGAAGAATCGCGTCACAAGGATTTATTGGAGGAAAAGTCAGACACCTCACAGTAAGGGCCCATTCATTGTCATGTCACTATCTAAGGTCCGGATGATGGCGACATCGCCAAAATTCTGCCAGTCCTCTCACGAGCATTTGCGAAACCCGTAACCATACTGACGTCCGGACCCTGGCTCGGTTCGGATGGGATGGTCTGGGGGTGTTCCCACCCCTCGGACCCAAGTTCACCCCGCACAAATGGGAGTGTTGTGAGGAGGAACGCGTTGGAGTGGCTTGGTTCGTGGAGAAGTGAAGAGGAATGGAATGTTGGCAAAGAAAAGTTTAGCCCATGAACGGTGTTGTACGCGGTGGAATCAGATGTGTAAAACTGAAAAAACGCCTTACATATGGGCTCAATACATCATTACAAGCACTCCATAAAACACACCGGATTCTGAAGGATCACACCACGGCGAGGATTGTAACAGCTCTATCGGGTCCATCACACACCACGAAAGCCTTGCCTGCAATGCTCTCCGCCTTTTCCGCCATCTGGCGGCCATGGATTCTGACGAGCTTGAACAAGTCAACGTCCTCGCTACAATGCACGCCGAGTTCTGATCTTCTTAACAGTATCGTCTTTAACATTCGAAATGGAAGTCTGGTAATTTATGCTGACCTCGGTCTCTCCAGTTATCAGGCAACAAGCATCAGGCTCAGCCATGCATTCCCAAGGCCGTGTTACCTTCAAGTTCATTACCATGTTAATTTCAGCGTATCGTCAACTTCCATTGTCGGTGTATCTCCGACCATTATTAAAGCCCGTAGCTAAAATGGTGACCCCCTCGTTCTAGTTGGGTCCAACTTGATTACTCAAGTTTTTTTGCATTGTTTTGGAAAGTTATAAGTTACGGTATGTGTTTTTCGTTTTTCAGCCATCAGACGAGTTCCGAAGTGAACCACTGTTACGAGTGCAATTAAGTGATCGAACGAGAATTGCACTATCGAAGCAAGAGTACAATGAGCGAAGGCATGAGCGAAGAATATATAGCGAATCTACAGTGGTAACGGTAATGAACTGTGGTTGACGCGCGACGGGCCTGGAACTGAGGTTGGGAAAATGTCGAGGCGGAGGCCCGGAGCGCGGGTTACCGGCCGAGCCGTAAGGTCGGGGTGCGACGTGCGAAGGTGGCAGGAGGATTGTCGATGCGAGGGTTGCGGGTGGTAACGGTGCTGACTGTGGTACTACAGTGGTGTACGCGCTGAGCAGGGACGCGAAGTAAGGAAAAGGAATTTTCCTTACACTACCCCCCCCCCCTTAAGGAGGCCCTCTTTTATGAAAGTGCGTGTACATCCCGAAAATTTCGGCTGCGCAGATACTCGGTGAGGACGGGGTGGTTGTCGATTTTGTCCAGGGGAACCCAGTTGTCTTCGGTGGGTGTACGGTCTCTCTAGCGGATCAGGAATTCGATCCTTTGAGCTCCTCGTGGGTCACAAACTCGGTGGCTCAAAATCTCTTCGGGTGTGATGATTGGCTCGGTCGGCGGTCGTGTCATGCTGGCTGGGCGGTTGCGGGGCAGTTGGCTGGTGGATGGTACGTAGGGGCGGAGCAGGCTGACGTGGAAGGACGGGCTGACGTACCAGTCAGCAGGGAGGAGGAGATGGGCGGTGACGGATGTAATCATGTGGCTGATGCGGAATGGCCCACAATATCGAGGGCGGAGTTTTGGAGTAATGGGTAGGCGGAGGTTATGGGTGTCGAGTAAGACTAGGTCGTCGGGCGGTAAGTGACAGGTCGGCGGTGGCGGTCGGCGTTGCGTTTAGCGATGATGTTCGATTTTTTAATTGCGTCCACCGCTCGGGTCCGTGCTGCTTGTAATATTTCGTCGAACTGTTGTGCTCGTGGCACTGGGTTGTTGGGATTCGGGGTCATGGGTACTGTTGGGTCTTGTCCGTAATTCATGTAAAATGGTGACTGTTGGGTCGTGGCGGAAGGCGAGTTGTTGTACGCGAACTCGATGAGTGGCAGCTGTTGTTCCTAGGTGGTTGGGTCGTCGCATGTGGCTCGGATGAGTTGCTCCCATGGTCTGATTTGTTCTTTCTGTCTGTCCGTCGGTTTTGGGGTGGTACGAAGAACTGAACTGTAGTCGCGTGCCGAACTGCTGCCACAGGTTCCGCCAGAAGTTGCTGGTGAATTTCGTGTCTCCGTCGCTGATGATCGCTGCTGGTATCCCGTGCAGTCGAACGACGGTGGTGATGAATAGGCGAGCTGTTTCTTCGGCTGTGATTGATTTCTTGCAGGCTGCGAAGTGTGCCATTTTCGTTAGTCGATCGACGACGACCAGGATCGCGTCGTTCCCACTCGCTCCGGCCAGTAACCCCGTGACGAAGTCCATCGTCACCTACTGCCAAGCATGCTCTGGGGGTGGTATCGGCTGCAACTGTCCTGCCGGCCGCTTCCGTGATGACTTCATGATCTGTCAAGTGGGACATGATGCCACGTGTCGTTGAACGTCGATCAACATTTCGGGCCAGTAATAATACCCCTGCAGCTGCTGCCGTGTTTTTTCTACCCCGAAATGCCCCGAGGTAACTCCGTCGTATGCTTCCTGTAATAGTAATTCCCGTAGCAGTGTATACCCTGGTACCCAGATGCGGTCGGTCCCGGCTTTTACGTAATAGACTCCCTTTGCTGCTACAAACTGCTGCGAATTTCCTCCTGTGATGAATGGATCCGTTTGGTACCCGTGGGTAAGTAGGCCTGTCAGTAGTGGGCTGGTCTGGGCAAGTAGTATTGCGTGGAGCTGGGCAGTGGGGCGGGTCAGTGCGTCGGCGATGTTCAATGCCCCTTTTTTGTAGGTAACTGTATAGTGGAAGTTTGACTCGAGGAAATCGAGCCAGCGAATCTGTCGTGGGTTGAGGTGTGGCTGTGCGCGGAGGTACTGTAGTGATTTATGGTCTGTCCGTACTGTCACGTCTGTGCCGGTCAAGTAACAGCGCCACACTTTGAATGCGTGCACGATCGCAAGCATTTCGCGGTCGTGTATCGGGTAATTTTTCTAGGGCGGATGCACTTTTCGTGACTCGTATGCGATGGGCTGTAGGCCGTTGCCGAAATCCTGTAGCAGTACTGCTCCGATGGCGATGTCGCTTGCGTCTGTAACTACTTCGAATGGGCGGTGTGGGTCGGCGATGCGTAGCACGGGCGGTGAACAGAGAATATTTTTCAGGGCAGAGAAGGCAGCATGCTCTTTCTCCCCCCACGTAAAAGCGACCCCCTTCCGTAGCAAGTCTGTCAGCGGCACAGTTAACCGTGCCATGTCGGGGACGAACCGACGCACGTAATTGACGAACCCTAAAAAACTTTGCAGTTCCTTGATATTCGTCGGGGGGTGCCAAGCTTTTACCGTGTCCAACTTCTTCGGGTCAATTTCGACCCCAGCCTCCGAAATGACGTTCCCCCAAAACTCTAGCCTGTCCTGAAAAAACTCGCACTTGGAACCCTTGGTCAGTAGCCGATGCTCGTCTAAAATTTTAAATACCGCTTCCAGATCGGCTAAGTGCTGCTGCTTGTCACGACTGTAGACGAGGATGTCGTCGAGGTAAACTATCACGCAGTTATCTAAAAGCGGCCTAAACGCTTCGTTCATGGTCATCTGAAAAGTCGCCGGTGCGTTGGTCAGCCCGAAGGGCATTACGGTGTACTCGAATGACCCGTATCTAGTCCGAAAAGCTGTTTTGGTGCAGTCCGATGGTTCGACTCTAATATGATGGTAACCGTAATCCCCTCGTAAATCAATTTTTGAAAAAACCCGTGCTGTTCGCAGTTGGTCTATCAGTTCGTCGGCGCGGGGAATGGGATACCGCGACTTGACTGTTACCCTGTTGAGCGCTCTGTAATCGATGCACATGCGAAGCCCTCCGTCTTTTTTCGGCGTGAACAGTATCGGTGCGGCGAACGGTGACGAACTCGGTCCGATGAATTTCTTCTCTAACAGGTAATCTAACTGCTTCCTCAATTCGTCGAGCTCGGGCCGTGTCAGTCTGAACTAGCGCTGTAAGGTTGGTTGTGCCCCTGGTTCTAATTCTATTCGGTGGTCATGTGCTCGCTGAGGTGGCAGTCCCTCCGGTAAATCGTCAGGAGAAATCCACGGGTATCGTTTCAACAGTTCCTGTAGTTTGGGCGGTACCGTTGCCAGCAGTTTCTTGAATTCACTTGGTTGCTCTGCTTCTTCTACCACTGCAATGTCTACTGCGTAACGTCAGCTCCAGCGGCGACAACCCGTTTCATGGTGACGGCGTTGACGTGTACCGTTGAAGACTCAGGCGACTGCCAGCGAGGTAGTTCGACCCAGTTACCGCTACTTCGCACAGTGCAGCCACCCGTCGTCCAGTCAATTCGCGGGTTATACCGTCGCAACCAATCACGTCCCAGTAAAATGTCGTGCCCATCCAGTGTCGTCGCGAGCATTTCCTGTGTAAACCCAAAATTCCCCCCGCAACGGACTTTGACTCTCTCCACCTTTTCCCGTATGGCCAGTGGCATGCCATCAACTAAGTGTGCATC